CCCTGCTGGTCCGTTCATTCTGGACTCTCCATCCAGGCAAGGGTGGAATTCTCTTCCAGTTGTTACTGTGAAGATTCACCGAGGTCAGTGCTCACTGAGAAATGTCAGATACCAAAGACACACTGTTTCCCTGCTGTGTATCTCCTCCTCGTGTGCACTTCTGTATTCTGCATGGCATAGGTATTTGTTGCACCACTGTGTCAGAGCCAGTCCTTCACCTTGCATTTCAAGTTTGCACATCAAGCCACAGGCAGCACAGTCATCCTTCCAAACCCAGCTTCCCTCCTGCCTTAGCACTGAATGTACTGCACCCAGCTCTGAGCTGCCTGGTGCCCTTGGTCTCAGACTGTGTTTCAAGACCCCCGCTCACTTTTCATCACTCCCTGTTGGTCTTTTCTCCCTTCTCTTTTTAGTCAAAGAAAACTGAAGCCTTGCATTAAATGTCTCCCAAAGAAAATATATCTTTGGCTCCTACTAGGAAATCATTTTTCAGCGTGAATAACCCAACCCTCCATCATTTGAGTTTTGTCAATTTTTAAGCAATAGCTTAAGCAGCAGTAGGTTGTTTGGGAGTAGCCAGGAAAATAAGCCCTGGTCCATGCACTCCAGAACTAAAAAGAAATCAACAACAGGTCCAAAGGCAGAAGCTTAAACTTTCCACATCCCGTGTTGTCCTTTCCATTTGGTTTCCATGGGACCCTGTGTTGGGTGTGGAAAGCAGTTCCCAAAGCACTGGACTGTACTCTTTAGAAAAATAAAGAACTGAATTTTAGGAGGACAAAAAGGAGTAGTGCATTAAGAAGTGGGTAAGAAACCGGCACACAAGAATGTTGATGCCTGATGTTTTCAGAAACTAAATCCAAGGCTAGTTTCTAAAGCCCTTTGTTGACTGCCATTTTTACCAAAATGGTCTTTAATTGGCATAAAAAAAATCCAGAGGAGGTTATAGCTTTGAGATTTGCAGACATTTTCCAACCAACCCACAACCTACAATGCAATGTCATGTTTTCGGGGGGCTCCTGTAGGTTCTAAGAGACCCTGGGACTCACTGAGCCAGCAGCGTTCTCTTAGGCATCCACATTTTCTAGGACTCCTTGTTGAGACTGGGACTGAAATAAATGTACTAAAAGCAAACGAGTAGGGGCAAAAAATGAGTATGGCAGGTCAGAAGTCATCATGCCCCAACCCCAGATGAGGAGCTCATTCTGACAGACTAAACTAAATTGGGAAGAAATTAAAATGTATGGCTTTGCAGGACCTGTTAGCTAGCTGTCAACAAACTATGAGATTTGTCTTTGCTAGCCCTAAAATACCGACACCTTCAAGGGCAGCTGTATTTTTACAATACCATCTTAGAGTTGGGATTCACCTCTAATAGAAGGATGGTAAGCAGGGTCGCAGGTAGTAGGGAGAAGACTGTGTTGAATTTCTAAATTCACACCATACAGGTGTGATGAACCTGCCCAGTAGTGTGTGGTGGAGGAAGAGCAATGCTTATAATATGCTCTGCCAAAAGGAGGAAAAAAGCGTCTGAAACACGAGTCCCTTTATTCATTCATTTGAAGACATTTGATCAAGTTCCTCCTGTGTGCCAGGTACTAAACAAATGCTACAAATACCACTGCAAACAAAACTCACAAAGCTGCTTGCCCTTGCAGAGCTTACAGGTTCTAGAAACAAAAATAGAACTCATCAATGTGCCAAGTAAACTAGTCAACAAATTCAGGGTTCTGTTTCTCAGTAATACTGTAAAAAAAAAAAAACCAAGGCTCTGGACATAATAGATACAAATAAGTGTCCAATCTCAGAGAGAAATCTGCTACAAGTTGTTTTCAATGCCATTCCCGTCCCCTTCCTGTCAGAAATTTTCCCTAGAAAAAACTGTTCTAAGAGCAGATCTGTTTGCTTCTAAATACAGGGCAGTTTTCATCCCTTAGTAACCATCTCTTTAACTAAGTCTCAGTTTCCTCATCAAACTACTAAAAGAGATCATGGAGACATTTAACTGAAAGAGTATGTGAGAAAGTACCTTGCTGAGCATAGCCTATGTAAGAAATTCACATTTTAATCTCTCAAAAGACATTCCTATTGAGTGGCAGAACCACTTAGCTTGATCGGATCACCTTTAATCCACACTTCCTGTTTCCCTCCACCCAGGCTCTCCCCCTTCCTCCAGGTGAAAGTCAGGTGCTCTCCTCCTTCTGAGCCCCCTTCTAGGACAAATGTCCCCTCCCTGTCTCCCCTTCCTGGTGCTGGACAATGCCTCCCTCTAGCAAGCAGCAGTGCAATTATTCCTTCACTTTTCTTCCTCCCCCACCAGACTTTGAGCTCTTTAAACACAAGGATCAAAGCTTTCATCTTCTTGTTCCATTTTGCAGCTCTGTCTCTTGCACAGCACCTAAGATAAATAAACACTTCTTGAGGGATAAACAAACAAGATGACTGTCTCATTAGCAAGGTGAGCTTTCACACTCCCTTCACTCCCTTGCTCTTTCTCTTCTAATGCATACAATGTGTGCTTACAGACTGTTGTGGGAAGAAAAGCCTGATTTCTAAATCTTCAGAGGGCAAAGGATGTGAAGACATAGCTTCAATAAATAAAGCTATTCATTAATTTTGTGGGTGGTCCCAAATTGGGATGAGAACTGATATACTAAGTACAATCCAAAGAGAGCCAGAGGCGGACCCTGAACAAGCAGAGATGGGTGGGGAGGAGAGGGCCAGGATGGAGAGGGACCCTGGGTCTCGTCCCTGTGCCCAGCCATCCCGGTGCTCTGTGCGCATCTAGGCCTTGCTTTGCTTCATGGGGGGGGCAGATGGGTCAAGCGGCCTCACCCTCCCTGGCAGGCATTTAAGAAGCTGCCAGGATGTTCGTCACACCACCGGCTGCTCCTCTGTGGTCACCACGGTCAGTAGCTCCACTGCAGAGCGCTTTCTCCACAGCAGCTGGGGGGAAAGCCCTGCCATCCTCCTGGTGAAAAGTCCATGGCACTGCAAGGTCGCCTTTAAATAGCCACATTAAATATTCCCAAATATTTCCTCCCTACCATGTATATGTCACTAAATTTTGAATCTTAGAAAATTGGTGATTTGTGGATAAACACTGTGCTGCTGGCCCCAGGTTCCTTAGCAGGATCTGCAGTGTTCTCTGCAACTACCCTCCCGGGTTTACCTCCTCTGTGCTTCTCATCCTTCCTGCTCCCGTCCGCCCCGAGAAGCAGCGGCAGTCAGTTCCTGCTGTCATATCAGCATCGTGAGCCCTGCAAAACTTCCGCGTGGCCTTTTACCCCTCTGTCCATCTGCACTTCTCAACCCTGACAAACTTTCCCACTTCTGTGCGCCTTTCCACTCCCTGGCTCCCCCGGTCCCCGCTGCTTGGAAGGAGCTCTCTGACCACGTCCTCTGTGGGGGCCTTCCCAAGTCTTTCCAGAGCTTTCCTGTCTCTAACTGCCTCAAACAGACTAGTGCCCTCTCCCCACTGGGTGTTATGATTATGCATTGTAACACCTGGGCAGACAGGGACAGGAGCAGAGGGGAGTGAGCCCCCCTACTCCCAGAAGTGCTTCGCCGATGTCTCTTGTGCACCGTGCCCACCCGACACTGCCACGTGCAGGACAGATGTGGAGCGAGCGGCTCATTTGCCTCGGCTTGGGAAGGGGCTGTCACCGTGAGCTTCACCATCCAGACATTCTTCATGGTGCTATTTTTGTCTCGGTAATCATTAAATTGGTGTCAGATGGGCTGGTCCGGTCCCTCGTGCCCAGGCTGGGAGATGAGACTCTTCGGGGTTGTTTCCAGGAGAGAGACGTCGGTGTCACTCATATGAATGAGCCTCTGGTACCCACGTCCTCACACTGAGCCTCTCTGTGTTGCTGTGGCAATCAGAGCATGGCTGACCTTCGTGCCTGCCTCATTCCTGACCCCCATTCACTGAACACGTGTCCAGCACCATCTAGATGCCAGGCATTGAACAGGACACCAGGGAGTCCCAAAAAGATCTCTGCCCCTTAAGAAACTTCGTGTGACAATAAGAAAGTATGTCACGGCACGTGCCAGTGGACGGGGCCAGTCACAAGGTCGTGAATGAGGAGCATGGTGGAGGGAGATTGGCTCCACTTGGGTTTCCAGTGAAGATAAGTGGCCCATTGGACAGAAACGTGGCCCTGGGCAGAAGCATGCTAAAGACTGTTGATCTGTCCAAACTCAGCTGTGTATTCAGCGCTCCCTGAGAGGCTTAGGCCCCTTCCGTGCCCCAGCCCCTGCCCCGGGAGGTTGTCAGAAGGGCCTGGCATGGGGATGCGGCCGTGTTACTCCAAGGATCCTGACTCTGACTCCAGGCTCCAGAACTGGCCTAGAGGGGACAGGTGGCCTGTGGGAAAAGACGTGACTGGGCGAGCTGAGATAAGACACAAGCTTGGAGTCCACATCGTGGGCCTTGTGAATGAGAACCTCGTGCCTGAACAGGACCAGGACCTTCCCCAGCCACAGGGAGCAGGGGGTGCATCACTTTATGGAAACTGGGAGCAGGATTTTCTAGACTCTGTACCTTTCCGCCTGGGTTAGCGCTCTTGGGACTAAATGCCTGGAAATTCAGGGTGAAATTTAACAGAAAACCAAAACCGGGCACAGCGGGAGCACGGGGAGAAATGTGGCACCAGATGATGGCAGAAAGTGCATTTGCAGATGTTCTGGGCCACGCAAGGGCCTGGCGCTCTGGTTTTCATTTCCTCGGAGCAGACATTCCGAGCCCCACCCCCAGAGTCACACGGACACCACACAGGCACAGCCCTGCGGCGTGCTGCAGTGGCTCTGCGAGGGCCTCCTCACTGGCCTGCCGGTTGGCGGCCAGCTGGAGAGCCTGGGGCCACCTGTCTGGTGAGAGCCTCTCTGCTGTGGGCCTGGTGGAGCCAGGGCTGGCTTTGCGGTCTGACTAAAGTGACAATGAAATTAATAGGATCCTGATGTTGCGACTGAGGCTATTTCTCTGTGTCTCCAAACAGGGATGAGAGAGGAAATGTCATTCGGACGCCAGCAGGCTTTTGAAATCTTCAAGAGGGACCACGCTGACAGCGTTACCATTGATGACAACAAACAGATTCTGAAACAGAGGTAAGGCTGTGTCCCAGAGCAGCTGGCCCTCCAGCGCCAGGCCAGCCGAGAGGAAGGAAATGTGCTGTCCTTTCCAGCCTGCCCAGTCTCGCTGTGTGAGAAAGGGATGATGTTCGTTCAGTTCCACATCCAACTGTATCCACTGTGGCGAGATTCTCTTCCGTGTGTGTGAGCCTCATTACCCCAGCGCTGTTGGGGCGGGCCGCTTTTAGGGTCTGTTAGTGACGCGTTAACTGCACACGGCTCTCACACTGTACATTAACTCTCTTCAGCCGTGAAGCTACTGACGCCATTCTGTTCCCAAGGCAGGGAACCAAATCTACGGACCACAGCACACCCTCAGCAGTGCAGGCCTGCCAGCTGTCATTCTTAGTCCTTCTTAGGACTCGCACGCGTGTCTTGTGACCCCGAGTCCTTTTGGTGAGTCCTTCAGCCCACTGTCGGAGCGGGCAGGACTGTCTGCTGATGTGCTGTCAAACGAGACAGGGTTCCAGACCCCTTTAGAGAATGCCCATGCATAGATTCAGCAGACACAGCACACAGGCCCAGCGCACGAGGAAGAGGTCCCGACTGTCACGGGAAACTGTGACAGGTCACAGGCAGCTCTAGGTGTTAGCCCAGGGGACATCTCCAAAACTGATTCACTGAATCGCAGTGAGATCCGGTCTGAAAGATACGTGCTTGTCCACCACACCTCGAAGCAGGCTCAGTAGGTGAGCCAGCATGGAACTCCAGAGGACCGGTGAGGAAAGGAGGCCTGGGAAGACGCGGAGAAAGACTAAGAGGCAGGACGAGAGAGAGTGGAGTCCTGAAAGCCAAGAGGCGAGATGGGGTCTTTGTCGTTTTCCTTGTGGCTGAGACAAAATGCCTGACACCCACGGCGCAAAGGAAGAGGTTTATTTGGCTCACGTTTCAGAAGCTTCAGTTCTTCTAACATGGTTGTCAGACTGGCGGGGAGAGGGGACGCCTGGTGGGAGAGCGGCTGATCACACGGTGGCAGGGAGGAGCCGGACAGGGATAGGCCCTTCCAGGTTACGCCCCTAGCAACAGCCTCCACCCAGGCCCCGCCTCCTAACAGCGGATCAGCTTGTGGCCAATCACCAGCAAAAACCCGCCTCTGAGCAGGAGGCTCTTGGGGATATTGTGATCTAAACCATAGGAGATGGCTACAAGCAGCAGCACACAGTCAGTGGTGTTCGATGCCACAAAGCAACAAGCAGAAGGGAGTAGAACGGCCACATAGAAGATGTGGCCACGAGGCCATCAGGTGGCATGTAGGGTGTGAAGGAGCAAGTGAGAAGGAATTGAAGGAGCAAAGGAAAAAAGGAGGACAAGCTGAAGGCAAGCACAGATGACAGCTGTCACAGCCAGCAGGACTTCCAGTGGCCCTCAGCTGTGTCCATGCCCAAGGCTTCTTAGTTTCCACAGGCGGCTCATCATCCTCATTTCACAAGCCAGGCCTGAACCCCCTAGTCGTCTGATCTCATCGAATGGAGCCTGAGCACACCTTTTTAAAACATGTATTCCAATAACAACCACAGTGGAAAACCACTGTCATGAGCCAGGTGTGGTAGCATTCACCTGTAATCCCACATTTGGCGGGCTGAGGAAGGAGAATTGCAAGCTCAAGGCCAGCCTAGACTACAGAGTGGGAACTTGTCTCAAAAGAAAACCGGCTTTCGGGCATGGTGGCACACGCCTGTAATCGCAGCACTCAGGAGGCTGAGGCAGGAGGATCACTGTGAGCTCGAGACCAGCCTGGGCTACATAGTGAGTTCCAGGTCAGTCTCAACTACATAGTGAGACCCTGTCTCAAGAAAGAAAGAGAGAGAGAGAGAGAAGGAAAGAAAGAATGGCTTTGACAGTGTCCAGAGACCTTCCCAGAATTCTACCAATTAAAAATACTATCAACTCCTCACAAGCACGAGGTCCTGAGTTTGATCAATGGTATAAAAAAAAGTCATATATATATATAAATATATATATATATAATCAAATGATTCTTTTTACCCTCAAGGATAAGAACTCCTGGCTAAGGGAGATCATGATGCTTCATCTTTCTTACTCTAAAATTGGCCTGGATCTCGGTTCTCTTTGTGCCGAGGTTCAGGTCTCTTTCCAGGGGGAAACAGACAGATGAGCAAGCTGTGGGCTCCTGAAGGATCCAGTCCTGGCAAAGCCATCCTGCTGTAGCTCAGCAGTCTGACAGCCCCCAGAAGCATGTGCTTTGGGTTAAGGAAATCTAGCTGCAGTGTTCCTAGGCATATCTTCCCCATGGCCGATGTGCAAGAGAATTAATGAAACTCACACAAAGCTTTCCTCTGAAAAGATGTTTTCCCAGCAGTAGATCAGTCTTTTTAAGTCAAATGAGAAGTCAGGAGACGAGCCCACATTTTCCAGACCTCTGTTTAATGTTACTGTAATACCCATCCTGAAAATACTCCTATCGGGGGACCCAGGAGGGAGGGGGTGTAACCCAGAACCTGCCCTTTCCCAGGTTTGGCACGTTTGTGTGCAGTCATGGAGATTATTCAGTTTTTAGCTATTACCGAGGCACAGACGCCTACAGCGGGGGCTAAGAGAAAGCATCTTCTGTAAAGACAGCTATTCATGCGGAAAGCAGGCCCAGAGGCTCCCAGGGTTGACTGCGCACCGCCCTTACTTGGATGTTCATCCAGTGACCCCTGGCCCCTTCCACACATTTGTCTCAGTCCCCCCAGTGACAGAGAGGGCCCATGGGGACACCTGCAGGCGGGCCACAGGGATTGGGCTCAGCGTGGCATTCACCTACTTCCCTTCCTCTGCCGGAAGCGTCCACCTGCCACTGACAACGCACATGAAAGAGGGACGGGGCAAATTGCCCCTCGAAAAAGCTTCCCTAGCCCCTAGCAAGTGGGTTCTGATCCCAAAGGCAGGGGTAGTCAGCCACCCTGAGTCCCTCCACTAACTTAGAGCTGCAGGTGAGGATCACCAGTGGCCTGCACTCTCCGTGAATCTCAAGCGAAGGCTTCTCCCTCCCCTCCCCTTCCCCCACGTCGATGGCTGTAGACGCATCTCTGAGCTCTGGTCTCTGTGTGGGGACCTTATGCTGCCTCTCTGTGACAAGAGAAACAAGAAGTTGGTGTATTAATAGGATGTTTGCCCTTCGATGACCTCAAGCCTGCGAGCTAACTCTTAAGCAGGACTTTTAGGTAGAGGACCATAGCAATTGACAGTGCCTAGAATTTCCAGACCTCACTCATCCATGTAGTCTATAATAAGGTCAAGAGAAGCTGGTGCCCCCATGCTTAGCAAATACCAGTGCCCAGGCAATGCACAGCTGAATATTTTTGTTCACACCCTTTGCACAAACAGAATTCCTCAGACACAGAACCCCATTAAATAACAAAAGAAAAAAATGAATGGGGAGGGTAACTGCAATTGGAAGTAAGGTGTTGATAACATGCACAAAGTCAAGAAAAATAGCCTCACTCAGTTGGGCTCTTCCCACATAGAACAGAGCAGCAATCTGAAACCAACAGGAAACCTAGACTGAGGGTACAGAAAACCCTTGGGCACCATCTGGAAGTAACACCCATGCCAAACAGGAGCTCCCTGCTTCCCCTGAGACCTCAATTCTAACATTTACTATTTACTATTTTTCCTTTTTTTTTTTTGTATTCACACCTTGTCTGTTGAACTAGAATTATAAACTCGGAGCTCAGCCTCCCCACGGTTTTAAAAACCATGCTGGACACAGAAATCGTAGGCAGAAAACTATTTTGTTTGAGAATGATATTTTCAAATTGACTTTGAGGAATGTTAGCAGCCAAGAAAACTGCTTGGGCAAACTTACAGCTTCCTAGAATGTGGAGAATGAGGTTGGGAAGGTACCACCCTGCAGGAGATGACAGAGGGCAGCCATCTTAAGGAGGACAGAACTGAAAAGGGTTGTGGGTATTAAAAAGTGCGAGAGAAATAAGAGGTGGATCTTTGTCACAGTAAAATGGAAGCAGCCAAGGTATAAAAGGCATACAGGCATACAGGGAAGGAAATAACAAAATATAGGCCCATCCTTCTGTTTACCTCTTTGATGTAGAAGAACGCTGAATGTTCATGCTACCAAAAAAAAACATCATTATATTAAGTGCTTCACTCCAGATAAGAAGACTGGAAAGGGCACTGCAGAAGAACCTTGCCCTGGAACAACACTGACCCAGCCCACTGAGCTAAAGAAACACTTTCCCCTGGCATGACAGGGACCATGAGCACAGAGCGCTTGGGGACCCCGAGGTTCAGGACCAGCAGCAGCTCGGGTGGGCTCCTGGTGAGAGCAGCCACTGCCCTGTCCCCATGAACAGTGTGTGGCCCTAATTGCCCTGTAGTTAGGGCATCCTGGCCCTCTGCTGCTTGCCCGGGGATGGCTGGCCCATGTCAAGGACAGGGTGAGCTGGCCTCCGAAGTTACCTGGGATTCTACTTCAGTTTCCCCACACTTTCCATTCCCTCTGAAGGTGGAAAAGTCGGAGCTGTCAAGTGTCCTTGACCACTGACCCCAGGGATCTGTCCTAACCCTTTCGCCTGCTGCGAGGACAATTCTCATGCCCTGCGGTCGGCTTGCAGGTCCTGTCACCCTCACATCCCCACAGGGTTGGGGGCAGTCAGCATCCACACACACAACGCACCTGCGCACGGCGTACCTTCCGCAGCCTCTCAGCCTCACCCTGATCTTGGGAGCCAGGAGCCTGGACCCAGCCGCTACGAGGCAAAGCAGCGCAGGGTGGCAGTTACCTGGGGACGTCAGGCAGCCAACCTGCCTTCATTCTACAAATACTTGTGGACGCGTCCTCAGTGCAAGCCCGTGCTCTGTGCTCCAGGTAGATGAGAGCAAATTAAGCACACGAGGTCACTGTCCTCCGACCGCTTACCGCGTTCAAAGCAAATCAGAGGAGTCACCAAATGCTTCCCACACTGCACACGCTCTGCCCATAAAGAAGGACAGGAGCCCGTGGTGCAGTGGGCGCCTCACCCACGGTGGCCTGGTTCAATCCGGGAGAGCTCTGCGGAGACGGCGACATCACAGCGGAAACCGCGGAGGGGCTAGGTGCAAATGGGCTTAGACAGAAAGAGGCTCCAAGGGACAGCGAGGACTCGCCGATGACCGCAAGTGACTCGTGGTGGAACTGAAGCAAAGCAGGCCAGCCTGGAGGGGTGGAGGTGAGGGAAGAGCTAGAAGTCAGCGCCACCCAGAGCGTGAGATGGAGTCTGCGTCGCCCTGCTGGGCATCTGGACCCTGTCTGAAGTCATGGGAGCCCTTGGGCAGGAGAGGAACATGTCGGGGGCCAGGCTGAGGCGTGGGGAGCAGCCTGCGTGGCCAGGAAGTATGGACCAGGAGAGGAGCGACAGGGAAGCCAGGTGACATGGGCTGGGCGGAGAACGGCAGAGACTCCAGGCCTCCATGAAGGGGCCGCGAGAGACTGGGAGGCCCAAGGTGTGGCAGAGGAGCAGCGGGGTGGGGAGGCGGGCGGTGTCAGTCGTCTGCAGGGCATGTGCCAGGAGGGAACAGGGTGAGGAGCCGAGGCAGGGCCGAGAGGAAGACAGAGTGTCGGGGGAGAGCAGGGAAGACCCTGGCGGCCGCGAGGGTGAGCGCAGAGGGTCCCCAGCATACCCAGACCCAGGAGCTTCCCTGGAGAGCCGGAGTCACAGAGGCGGGTGGCAGCACCGGCCCAGCGTCACCAAGACTGGCTGAAGGACAGCCTGGCACTGTGCTCCTTGCTGCCCAGACCGGCCCTCGTCCTGCACCCTGAGGGTGAGGACAGCGGGGGTCACCTTCATCCCACCTCCTCCCCTCACTACCCCGCCTTCCTCCATGCTGTCCCTCTCCTCCCTGTTCATCGGAGCTGTGCTTCCCGGAGTTTGTCTGGATGAGCAGGGATCGGGACCACATGTGGGTGGGGTGGCCTGGAGTGGTGACAGCTCGAAGAGAGAAGGAAAAATGGTTTCGGGAAGAGGGCACGGCCCTGGGACCACACCTCTCCGGTGGAAAGGCTCTTTATAGTTCTGGGCTGGAAGAAGGGATGGAGCAGCTTGTGGCTCTCCACAGTTTCTGCCAGCTGTGGAGCAGGGTGCTGACCACAGTGCCTTGTCCCCGGGACACATCTGGACACCGCCAGCCTGACCTATCGGGCTTCTCTGGACAGCTCTAACGTAGAAATGATCCCTTCTGTGCATAATGCCTTCCCTTTTCTGTCCCTACACTGTTTTATCCAGTATTGGCATACATTTCAATGTTTGCAGTCTTGCTCTTACATTTTCCTTATTCCAAAACTGAAACTACAGAGGATTCACTCATCGAGTGATGCATGACCATCAAATCCTATGAAATCCTAGGTACTAGGGACAGACAGCAGTAAGCTGTCACAATCCCTCCTCCAGAAGTATAGTTGTCATCTTCTCAGCAGCCTGGACCACGCCTCAGAGCACACCAGCCCGGCAGGCATGACCAACGTGCACGCATCGAGCCCTGCACAGGGACCTACACTTCCTGTGACTGTTTAGTGAATAGAATCGGCACCACAGGGAACCACACTATTTCTAGACGGTGACAGCCTCCGATGGAGGAGAAGATATGCATCATCTACAGTAAGCCCTAACTGGACAGCCTGCAGGAGGGAGCCAGGGAGGGTTCCCAAGGAACCTAGTGTGGAGAGAAAATGTAGTCCCTTTCTCTGGAAACTTCCTGTCTGCAGTCCCAGGCCAAGCAGACAGCTTTGGAAAATGGCAGTGAGGTAAACTCACACTTCTTTCCACTGCGCACGGTACAGCCACGGCAGTCTGGCCGCTGCTTGTGTTGTCCCCTCCCTGCTTCCTCCAACACAGTCCTGCGCAGCTGGAATGCTCACAGATAAAACAATATGACAGCTGGGATCTGAGGGACCCCGCAAGATTTGGGAGCAAGGGAAGAGGATGGGCGCAGGAAGACGACTACAGTAAAGTCGGACAGTGAGTGAAACGTGACAGTGACAGGTGAGAGTTCGCCCTACTACTCTAGGCTGTGTATATTTGGAAATTTCCTAAAAAACAAAACAAAACCAACACCCCTCTGCATCCACAAGACCCAGGTCAACTCAGCTGGTACCTAAAGATCTCCTCGCTGTACCCTGCTAGTAGGTAGGCCCCTTCCTACTCTACTGGAGGCATGACGGCCATGAGTCGAGGCAGCACAATGATTTCCTGTCGCCGAACATCATGCAATGGGTGCACCTGTTTTACCACCGTGTATCAGGTCTCAAAGACTTTCAACTGCTGCTTTAATTTCGCGGCAGAAAAGTGAAAAAGTGGAAAGCAACTCGCATTTTGTAGGGACCCACGCTGTGTTTCTCACACCCCTACCCTGTACTGCTTTGCTGGGGCAAGGGCAGTCTTCTTAGGAGTGTCTCATGAGCACTGCAGAGAACTGAACAGCAGCACAACCATCTTGTGGACCAGTAGGCATCCATCAAAGAGCTTCGCATAGGATAAAGAAAGACTTAAAGATGCCCAGGAAGACAAAATGAAGGCGGGCACAGAATTACATGTGTAGCATGACCTCACTCTGTGAAAACGTGCTAGCAGGAAAGGCTGGACCGGTGTGTTTATCAGAATGTGCTCATTTCTGGGTTGGGGGTTATTGGGAATTGCTTTTTTAATTACATATTGAAAACCTGGCTCAGCAAGCTCTTTCTCAAAGAGGGCCAGGGGCTTTCTCAGCTCCGTAGGACAGGGTGTCCTTCACATCCGCCGCACAGCCAGGGTGCAGCGCACAAAAGTGGCCGCAGAACTACTGGATGGGCTTGGCTGTGCCACCGAAAGTGATTTACAGAACAGGGCTCAGGCCAGCTTGGTCTGTGACCAGTCACAGGTCACCAGTCTCTCTCTGATACACTACTTTGTAATGAGGGAAAAACACTGGGTGGCTTTCAGCGGTAAGATCCTGGTAGTGTGGTTAACATCACTCACAG